AATCTGTCTTTGACAATCTGTCTTTGACAATCTGTCTTTGACAATCTGTCTTTGACAATCTGTCTTTGACAATCTGTCTTTGACAATCTGTCTTTGACACTCCGTATTCTCCAGTCGGTATTGCTGCCTAGGATGGACGCGTGGAACACACTTCCTGCCCCCCTGTCGGTATTGCTGCCTGTAAATGGTTGGCTCTTAAGGATCGATAACAGTCACCCTCCGGTTTTGTATGAGATCAAAAAATCTTGTATCCGACCGACTACTAGCATTGCTGATGCATACGCGAGGAGTGACTATTCTTACATCTGTTGGTCTTCTTCCTCCAGCAATTATCAGCTGGGGCCGATCAGGACAACCGGTCACTTCATCATACAGTCCATTCCCACTGTTGATCGTGATTTCCGGCCGCTTACAGAGGATCACGTCTTCAGAACACCGGTCTTGGGAAGTGCGTGATTTGTTTGGCAGCCCAATGAATAGAGTCAACTGGGGTTGAATTCTGGCTACAAGCGATTCTGCCCAATAACAGGTATGTCAGTTGGTAAATCTGAAACACAGTACCTTAGTTCGACGGAGGGAACGCGGGAGACGTGACTACCGTCAAATTCTCGGCTGGCAGTGACACGTGCGCGCAAGGAGGTGCAGAATATCAACACATCGAAACCTTACGGAATGACTCAATTCAGTGCGACTCATTCGACTATCTGCTCCAGGAAAGGCCAAGAACAATCAATCGATCTGAACAGATGGAACAGGTCTCTCTTGCTCAATCTCGAGGTACGAGACCACTTCAACCACAACTGACCTATGTCCGAGATCCTCTCAAGCACGAATTCCCCACCTCATGCAACCACGAGGGCCCCTGTGGTTTGGACGATACTCAAGCCAACTGCGCCTGCGCCATCAACCGAACGTGGTGTTTTGCAGACTGTGGATGTCACCCGACAACGTGCAAACGCATGTTTCAAGGCTGCCAGTGTCTGTCACGCTGTGATGGGCGCTGTCCGTCCCAACAGATTTCTTTTGACTGCATCCCAGGTCGTTGCGGATGTGCTACATGCGGCAAAGATCCAAGCCCGAAGTTTCCACGCTTGAGCGTCCGACCTTCTAGGATCAAAGGAGCAGCTGACGGACTCTTCGCAGAAGAAGATATCCCAAAAAGCGCATGTATCGGCAAATATGAAGGTGACGTGGTGCTGGACGTGGAATATAACAGTCGGATAAAACTCCACGATAAGATGACGTGCATGGCTTTGAGCAAATGTACTGGATTCCTGTCAAAGTCGTTTGCTGACAACACTAACGTGGTGGTAGATCACTCCATTGACGGTGCATTCAATGAGCTTATGGTCTTCATGAATCATCAGCCTAAGTCGCGCGCCAATACTCGTTTCGCGTACGAAAGAAGCGCGCAGGGAAAGGAGATCCGAGTGTATTCGACAAAGCTCATCCGAAGGGGGCAGGAAGTTTACGTATTCTACGGGTGAGTTTGTTTCCCTCGAAGCACCAGATTAACCTAACTCTTGCAGAGAAAACTTTTCTTTTCGACCTTCTCTGCCACTACCAACACTATATTGTCAGTTATAGCGTACATTGTGGAATTTCAACTAATTTTGTCAGACCGTGGCCTTGAAATCCTAGTGGGCATGTTTGTTTTCGTGAGAAACAAGACTCCCGATCCATGGATTGGCCATGTAACAGAAATCTCGTCAAATGCGAAGCACATCACCGTTGAATGGATGTGCAATGTCAACAATATCGAGGACGCCGATCCCTATCGATATCATCGCTGCCCGGATGAGATGTTTCTCACTCCATTCCGGGATCGAATCGATGTAGATACCATAGAAGACATCGCCGAGATCAATTTTCATCATGATGAACGTCACTGCGACACAATCTGCTGGAGGCAACACTACAACTCCACTACCGGCCAGTTCATCCCAGAGCGCCTGAGTCCCGGCTTGTATGGAAGTACAAATAACCGGAGGATAATGACACGGAAAATCCCCCTGGAACGAGTGGAAGCGACATGTCCGCGTTCATCACCTACGACTGGGCTGATGTCGTTGCAGCATCAAACTTGCAATCTAGGCTGAACCCTGGCATGCCCGATGAGTCCATTTTGCGCGCCAAGGTCTGTGTCTAGCTATCAGCCAATAACAAGACTTTGTTTGAGAGTGATTGTGCTGGTCATTGCGCATCACGGGCACAACTCTCCTGTGCTCTATGGGGATTCATAGCCAAAGGGCATAGAACCGTAAATCGTTAGTTGGTCTTGAAGTGTCCAATGTCTTCGAGTCAAGGCTAGTTGGCTGTGCTGATTTGGTTAAGTGGAGTGCGCAGATATCTAGGAAAGCTGGCGGTGTCATATTCCAACGACGAAAATTACTCTGTACATAGAGACCTCGCTTTATGCATCAAATAGGCCAATCACATACCACCTGCCTCTCATCCTCCCGATTTCTAACGCTGGTTAGCTCGAAGCCTCTTAGCACATTTTTCGACACTTGGCGACTGCCTTGATCGTCTCCTCGCAATTCAGGTCGAAATCCGTGGTCCAGTGTCTGATCCGGTTCATTATATGCTCGGTTGTCTCCAGATGGCGGTCCCGGCCGAAGATTGTGTCAAGAAACGCAATTGCTCCTTCCTTACCCATCTTCCCTGCGCCGTTACGCTTGATAACTCTTAGCATGGGGTATTTGCAGTCTTTGATGAGATTTTTGAACTTATTCCACATCCTGTGGCCACTGAGAATGAAGTCCTCGACGGTTTCGCGTTTGTCGAGGTTACGGATGCGATCGACGCACTCCTGGGCTAGCTTCATCTTGCCCGCAAGTTTGATCAAAAGCAGCCACAAATCCCCCGCCATATCAGCCATTGGAGTAGAGGCGCCATGGTGGAAGGCCGCCCAGTCATAGACCCACTTGCCCAACGAGTTGGCATCGAAGACACTTCCCAATAGGATAACAGGCTCCTCTGTTTGATCCCAGTGCTTGATGGAATACCCGGAAGGAATTTCGGCGCCGACAGAGTCTGCTTCGGTTGCTTGCCTTGTTGGTGCACTTTGCGAGGAGTAGGCAGTCCTGGATCGATATGATTGCCCATCGACATTCTGCTCGTGCTCATAGTAAGAGCCAGGCCTGGCACATGGGTCTTCCTTACGATCTCCGTAGCCGTACCTAGGGTCTTCGTCGTCGTAGATATGGACATAATTCTTTCGCCCTTGAGATGATGAATTGTATGCCAACCCGTCAAACACATCGTAGCGGTCGCGCTCCCCGGCTCTGTTCATTGTTCCATGTATAAACACCTTCTTTCTTTTCGTACCGCAGCGTGCAGGTAAGGGTGAGGAGTCTAGACTAAAGATCGTGTGTTGTTCTTCGGGCAAGCAATAGTCGCGAGTCATTCGACTTTGGCCTCGTAACTGATTCTCCTGTAAATGGCAGGCTCCACACGGTGAGTTATTGTAAAAGGTGCCCTGCTGAAATATCACTGTAGGATAGTAATTCATCTTGGTCGAGTGCGCCCTTGTGTGCTCACTGTTGCCGGTTACTTTCTGTAGTAAGTGACGGTATCAAGTGAGTTAAAGATGGAGTTTGTCAGCAGCATAAAGGCTACGAAAAACGTCCCTAGGTCAGATGTGCGTTTGACCTCCCCAACCTCTTCCATTTTATATGCTGGTGGGCGAGCTGATCCACCTGCATATGTGATCCTGCATTGACAGCTCATTGGGTTAAAGCATTCGTGCGACAGTGGTGCCAGAATATGCCCAACACCTTGCCTCCTATCGTTACCTGCAAGGGTGTCAGAGCTGAGGCTTGGAACCCGCCACCCAACACATTTATCTAGATACTTTGGCACTGAAACCATTGCAGTACAACGGTACCCATCCTTCAGTCCAATTCATGGTTTGACGGATAATGTACTGACTCGAAGTGACGACCAAGGCCGTCCTGGCAATGAAAAGCAAGCATTGATGCCAGATTCATCATTTCGAAGGAAGAACGGTCTAACGGTGAGAGCCACCAGCCTAGATCGAAGGATCCAGAACCCACTATAGTCAGGCTCATGCCAAAGCCATCCATCTTTTTGGTCGTCTTTTCTCCTGCCTACCACCGAACAAGAAACAGGATCTTCTCAGGACAGCACGGACCTAGAGCTTTGTCCGTAGAGCCAGGGTAATATGACGTTAGTGAGTTACTGCAACCGAACCTGGACCAGCGTTGGAGGATGTCTCCGTAATTTCAATATCAGTCGGTGTCACAGTGGCACCTTATCAGTGTGTTCTATTGACCACTCTTAGACAACCTTCCTTTGCTGTATTTGTCATAGCAGAGCCTTAACCACTATGTAAGTCCGCACTTATGTCGGCAAGGCAAAAGTCGAGTACATCCGGAAAAGCATATCTTGAACAAAATCGACCTCCCGTCCAAACCGCCTTGATTAGGACTGTTTCTGGACAATAAGCTCAGGCCTGTTGTACCGGCTACATCGTGGTGGAGGTTTGTAGTCAACAAAGTTGGGCTGGAGAGGACCATCGAATTTCGCATGGAAATGAGTACGGTCTGACCGGCGTGATGGCGTTTGGGTGGGGGCCCGAGAATCGTCCACTTTCCTCGGATTTCGAAGCTTTTTGACCTGTTCCGCAGGAGGATCTACCTCGCGCCGAAGACCTTTCCTGATTTCTTCATATAACTGCTCGTTCAATTCAATGGCATCGGTGTGATCATGCCTGACTCCATGCTGGGTAAATGGGTTTATAAAGTCATCGACCCATGTAGCTTCTTGGATATGTTCCCAAATGCGCGAGAGATGTTGGTGGCCTGCCGATCTACAAGATTAGGTGAAGTTATAACCACTTAGTGATCTACTCACCTATCCTTGAAGGTGCCGCCGTCGAGAGTGATCTTCCCGCCGTGATCTTCACGTTGCCCACAAAGTTGGGAGACGTTTTCGCTTGGTCGTGTCATTGATGTGGTCATGAAGAAATTCGGCGACAATGTAAGTGGAGATGACGACAATAAAACCAGCAGCGGATTGCTTAATTGTACGGCGGAGAAGCAAACTCTGGGATCTCAGGGCGCATGGAAATTTACGCGATGGCCTTCAGCGACCAGGGTGCGAATGCGACAACATATTTGACTGGACGATTCAGAAACACGGAGGCTGGAACCCGGAATCAAGAAGACATCCAAAGTGGCCGACAAGTCGAAAAACGGCCGACACAAGGGTAAATGTGACTGAGCAAGCTCATTTTCTTTACGAAGCTGAAGCCGAGGCCATGCCTGACACGTAACTGGAAGGATGCTGTAATCGAACGTCGAGTGCCAACCCATTCCTGGGCAGTAACACCGACAGGAGAATGCGGAGTGTCAAAGACAGATCATTGGGTGGTATGGTATGGCCACGTCACTATCGAGGACCCTTGCACACCTTGTGGCGGACTCATTGGCCCATAGAATGCCTCACCTGTGAGGAGGCTGGTTGAGGCGTGTCTGATGATCTCTCGGACCACCGCCCTTCTATGGTGATAGAAGTTGGGCGCCCCATCAGCCCTATCAATATAAAGCACCGAAAAATACGATTTGATATCGTTGGTTTATATTCTGTCCCTTGGGGGTCCGAGAATCTGCTTTTCCGACGCAATGTTTGTTTCGCGAATCCCTGTATTCTTTACTTCCACGATCATAGGTTGTATAGGAAGTACGCTAGTTTCTTCCAAAAGTTCAAGTCGATAGTGAGTACCAACGAGCATTTCTTCAGAACCAGGTACACCCTGTGGCCAAGATAACCTGAAACCATCTTGGTGACATTTTCAAGCTAACATGTAATAGACCCCGGCTTCCAATGATCATATCATCGAATGGATGGATGAGGAGCAGCCGATTCGATCACAGAATGGGCCGGACCATACAAACTGCCTCATTTCCGAGAATCAGGCGCACCGGCCCGCTGGATGAGAAGCATTGGTACGTATGAGCCATTGGTTTCGCAGGGTCAATCCCGTTGACCAAATCAGTGATTGCTCTACCACTCTTCCGGAGTCAACTGTCCTAGGGCTCTACGGTCATGCTCCAGGAACCCCTACACTTAAGAAGTCTGGTAGCTAAATCCCTTATCATAATGAAAACATCGCATTGTTCGCACGTTGCCCTTTCGCCCCGCCTACTACATTGAGATAGCGTTGGCGAGCACTTTCTGCTTAATGTTCAACTTCATCAAAATGCCGTTTCGCGACTCGTGGCGTCCGCGAGCATCCCCCTTTCGTAAGGTCGTAGTCGATTG